AATGAGTCTTCCTCCAATCCTGATGCCACGGTTTTCTTCATATAACCCAGATTTTTGGATTATTTGAATAAATATGGTGAAAGAATACAACCCTGTCTCACACCTTGCTTAATTTTAAACCAGTGTTCCCATGCTCTGTTCAAACAACTTCTTCTTGGTCCATGTACAGATTCCTCATGAGCACAATTAAGTGTTCCAAAATACTCATACTTCACAATGTTGTCCATAGTTCTTCATGATCCACACAATTGAAAGCCTTTGCATAGTCAGTAAGGTGCAGGTAAACATCTTTCTGCTTTCAGCCAAGATCTGTCAGACATCAGCAATGATATCCCTCGTTCCGTGGCCTCCTCTGAATCCAGCTTGAACCTCTGGAAGTTCTCTGTTAATGTATACTTGCAGCCATTTCTGTATTAAAAGAAAAGTAAAATTTTACTCGCATAGGATATCAAAGATATTGTCCAATGATTTCCGCATTCCGTTGGATCACCTCTTTGGAATGGGCACAAGTATTCTCTTCAAATCGTTGACCAAATAATTGTCTTCCAAATTTCTTGGCATAGATGAGTGAATGCCCCCTGTGCCACCTCACTTTCTTGAAATATTTCAATTTTTATTCCATCAATTCCTGGTGCCTTGTTCTTTGCCACTTCCTTCAATGCACCTTGGACTTTTTCATTCAGTATCATTGGCTCTTGATCATATGCTGCCTCTTGAAATGGTTGAACATTAATGATTTCCTTTTGGTACAGTGACTGTGTATTCTTTCCATCTTCTTTTGATGCTTTCTACATCATTCAATAATTTGTCCAGAGAATCCTTCAATAACAAAAGTCGAGGTATGATTTTTTTTTTTTTTCAGTTACCGCAGCTTGAGAATTGCTGAGCATGTTCTTCCCTTTTGGTTTTCTGACTCCAGATCTTTGCACATTTCACTGTAATATTTGACTTTGTCTTCTCGAGCTAAACTTTGAAATTTTCTGTTCAGCTCTTGTACCTCCTCATTTCTTCCATTTGCTTTAGCATCTCTATGTTGGAAAGCAAGTTTCAGTGTCACTTCTGACATCCCTTTTTATCTTTTCCTTCTTGTCTTCTTAATAATTTTTTGCTTTCTTCCTGTATGATATTCTTGGTGTCATCCCACAACTCTTCTGGTTTTCGGTCTTTAGTGTTTAATGTATCAAATCTCTTCTTCAGATGATCTCTAAATTCAGGTAGGATATATTCAAGGTCATATTTTGGCTCTCGTGGACTTGTTTTCATTTTCTTCAGCTTCAGTTTGTATTTGCATACGAGCAATTGATGGTCTGTTCAACAATCTGCCCCTGGTCTTGTTTTGGCTAATGATTACAGAGCTTTTCCACCATCTCTTTGCATAGATATAGTCAATTTGATTTCTGTGTATACCATTTGGTGAGGTCCATGTGTATAATCATCTCTGATCCTGTCTAAAGAAGGTATTTGAAATGAACAAATCATTGATGTTGCAGAATTCTATCACGCAATCTCCAGCATCATTTCTATCACCAAGACCATATTTTCCAGCTACTGATCCTCCTCTTTGTTTCCAACCTTTGCATTCCAATTACCAGTAATGATCAATACATCTTGATTGCATGTTTGATCAATTTCCAATTGAAGAAGTTAGTAGAATTCTCCTATTTCATCTTCACTGGCTTTAGTGGTTGGTGCATAAATGTGAATAATAGTGGTATTAACTGGTCTTCCCTGAAGGTACATGGATATTATCCTGTCAAAGACAGGATTGTACCTCATGAGTGATCTTGATATGTTCTTTTTGACAGTTAATACAACAGCATACCTCTTCAATTTGTCATTTCCGGCATAGTAAACCATGTGGTTGTCAGATTCAAAATAGCCAATACCAGTCCTTTTCAACTCACTAATGCCTAAGATCGATGTTTATGCATTCCATTTCATTTTTGATAATTTCCAATTTTCCAAGATTCATACTTCGTACATTCCATGTTCTGGTTATTAATGGATGTTTGCAGCTGTTTCTCTTCATTTTGAGTTGTGCCCCATCAGCAAATGAAGGTCCCAAGGGCTTTCCTTCCATGGGCTTTACTCCATTCGCTTCATCACGGTCAGCTCTACTTTGAGGAGGCAGCTCTTCTCCAGTCGCATTTTGAGTGCCTTCCAACCTGAGGGGCTCCTTTTCTGGCACCTGATATGATACTGTCGGATAAACCCTGGACTGCTAACCACAAAGTCGGCAGTTTTAATCCACTAGCCACTCCTTTGGAACCATATGCAGGGTCACTATAGTTGGAACCAAGGAGCTCTGGTAGCGTAGTGGTTACGAATCGGGCTGCGAACCTTAAGGTCAGCGGTTCGAAACTACCAGCTGCTCCGCAGGAGAAAGATGAGGCTT